GCAACATTATCTGAAGTACGTACTACTCCTCTACTACCAGTGGCTGTTCCATAAGCTGTATTCATACTAACTGGTACATTAGGAACCGCCTGTACTGTATCTGTTGGTGTATCATATATTACTGTATTGGTGGTAGTGTTTTCTATAAAAATAATGAGACATTGCAGCTGTACTGTACATAAGTGAGTAGTGCTGACCTTGCATTACTTTCCAATGTTTACGCCAGATCATACAACCAACAATAATGAGTATTATTAGTATAACAATGACAATCAGTGCTACACCAGCTCCTATACCAATAATAGCTCCAGTAGGAAATCTAGCTATGTACATATAGATACAAACATAATGACAATATTAATAATAATTTATGTATACTAGTTTTTGCTGTAGATGATGTGCTTGATGTTACTGTAGCTCCAATGGAGCTGCTTGTACCTAACAGTGTCATTAGGTATTCAATAGTTTAAAGTTACTATTACTAATACTTTCAATAGTGGGTGTAAATCTCTTAGTTAAACTTGTAGAGGTAGGAACAGAAATAAAAGTAATAGAATTAGTAAAAAATGATATAGTTCCAGTTGATGAACTAGAAATTACTATAGCTAAAGTAACACATCATATACAGCAAACAATAACTAACATATTGTAACTGATAAATTAGGACCAGTTCCTAATACATTAACAGCAGCCACTCCAACAGTATATACTGATCCTACTGTAGCATCAGGTATATTGTATGTAGTGGTAGGAGCTGGTATTGTTATATTAGTATCAGGATCAGGAATGTCATGATATGTTAGTGTATAGCTTATTATAGGAAGGAGCATAGGGGTAGGTGGCTACAGAGATTACATAATAGTATCAATTATTCAATTCAACATACTTCATTCCATGATACATTAATATTGAGACCACTCTGATTTAATGTTAAGTCAGTTACAGATTCAGGGACTATTAATATTTAATAATCAATAATCACCATTAATTAACTTACCATTAGCTACAAATGTTCTTTGATCAACAGGATCCATATATCTACCACCAGTATCAACAGCTACTACACTAATAGAATATTCTGTATCATTAGTTGAAGGTACTGGTAAACTCAGACTAGTATCAGTAGTATTGATAGTGTATTCAATACTAGTAACATTAACATTGTAATGAGATAGACAACTACTGTTTGATGGGGACCAGGAGAAGGTAAGAGTGTTGGAGGTGAATCTAGGATCATTAGGAACAGGAGCAGTTGGAATACCTTAAGGAGGAAAAATGGAAGCAATGATAGATCTTATTACTGTCCTAAATTTATCTTACTTGATAACATTATATGACAGGTTGCTGGCATAAGACCACTACCAAATGCATCACATTCAACAGTATAATTACTGATACTTATTGATGTAGTAAATGATACATCAGAGACAATAGGACCAGAACTATTAATCAGGGTAGCAGTGAAATCACTACCAATTGGTGACATTGTTGGTACTTGACCTTGAATAAATACAACAACACCAACTTGATCATTAGTGGCATTGAATACTCTCCATCTTAAGAGACTATCTCCACCAGTTGTATTTACACTACACTCATAACTAACTGACTGAGAGAGACACAAAGAGCAGCAACAGTCAGTGAACTGAGGTTGACCTACAGGATAAAGCTAGTATTTAATTGCTCAGTATAACAGACTCTTATTTTATTTACCACTGCTTAAAACAATTTTAAGAAAGAAAAGAAGAAAGGACAGCATATTGAACAGTCTTTTGTGGGTGGTGACACTTGAGTATAAATTCATGAGTTGTTTACACAACTGGCCTTTTCTCTTTGATAATATTTTTATGTTTTCTGAGTATACTGTTGACATATATAATGTGTATAAATGTTGGCAGCTATCACAAGTGACGTGAATATGTGTCATGAAAATTTTTTATGACATTATTAAACAAGTTTATTTTCTCAGACTAAAAATTGGGACATTTTTATACATAAGATTAAGACATAATATATAAAAATTAATTGTATAGGAACGAAGCTGTCACTAGTCTAATTATAAACACTCCATGCATGCAATAGCAGTAGTTTAATTATGATTGAACAGTTTCATAAACTGTTGGTGTTATTCCACTGGTAGATCTATTACCAACACTAACATGACCATACGCCATATTATCCTTCATCTCAAGGGAACTGGTTTTCATTGGTATCTCATAATCAGCAGCTGCTGTTGATGGATTAGTAACACTGTAAGACTTTACTGATCTTGATACACAACAGCAATAAGTAATGATTGAAGATAAAACTGATGATATTATTACTGACAGTATAACAGTGATAGGGAAACTGATAGCTAATGCACTAACAGTATCACTGCCTATAAACAATAGTACAATCATGTAGTCTCATGTTAGCTGCTTACTTTGCTCAGTGCAAGCTGAAGGGGTACATGTACTAGTGGGAGTAGGTGAAGTTATTCTTGTTGATGAGATAGCCACTATTAAAAATGAATGAAGCAATAACAATCAACTAATATGGACTGTGGTATGTACTCAATGAAATAATGGCAATAATAGCTTACCATCAGTCCTTATTAAAGTAGTGGTATGTGTAACTGTTGTTATGAGAGTAGAAGCATGTATACCTGCAAGTAGGAGTAATTAGGATACTGAGTTTGTGACTAACTTATTATGCCTGACACAGTAGGACCAACTCCTAATATATTAACAGCAGCTATTCCTACTGTAGCATTAGGTACACTGTATGTTAGTCTGGCTGGTCCAGGAGCTGATGCTGTTATATTAGTATGAGAATCAAGAACATTATGATGTAATGTATAGTACAATACAGGGGGATACATAGGAGTAGCTGGCTACAAAGAAATATAATGCTAATAATAATATTAATTATTTTATTCACTTCATTCCATGATACATCAATAGTGAGACCAGTCTGACTTAATGTTAAGTCAGTTACAAATTCAGGGACTATTGATAAAATCAATATTTAGTAATAAATCTATCATCATTAATCTATGCTTACCATCTGCTACAAATGTTTCTTCACCAACAGGATTCATATATCTACCCCCAGTATCAACAGCTACTACACTAATAGAATATTGTGTATCATTAGTTGAAGGTACTGGTAAACTCAGACTAGTATCAGTAGTATTGATAGTGTATTCAATACTAGTAACATTAACATTGTAATGAGATAAACAAGGACTGGTTGATGGGGACCAGGAGAAGTTGAGCCTGTCAGAATAAAATTTGATGTTACCAGGAATAGGAGCAGATGGGATATCTATAAAGAAACATAATACAAAAATAATTATATATTACAGGATGACATACATTGTACCTGCTGTTACTATAGAACAGTTTGCAAATATACCACTAGCAGCTCCACATTGGACAGTATAATTATTCATACTTAAAGTAGGAGTGAATGTTATATTAGAAACAAGAGAAGACCCATCAACAGTCAAGACAGTATTGAACTGTCCACCAATAGAACCAGTATCACCAACACTATTTCCTATCTCAGTATAAGATACACCACCGACACTAACACCATTAGTATCTAGTACTCTCCATACAAGAATATTTGATCCACTGTTACACTCATAAGTAACTGGTTGAGAGAGACACACTGAACTGGGACATGTAGTGAACCGAGGAGTACCTAAATTTTAAAAATGAGCTTATAGCTTTAAGCAGTTACTAATTTACCATCAAGATAATTAAATAACAACATAAAGGATAAAAAAGACACAATCATCCCCATTACTCTTGAGTCTTGATGTTATGTGCGTACACTAGATACACTAAGCACAAAAGGATTAGGGCAGTTAGTAAACTCTCCTGGTGTACCTAAAACAAAATGAATAGATGCTTCATCATAAAACATAACTTACATTGAAACAAGTAAACAAGACAATGAATAACTTCAGTGGGTGGTGACAATGGTAGAAATTGATGATAATGCAATTATATTGTCAATGAAATTCATTCTGTATCTATCTGCTTACACAGCTAGTGTTGTGATGACAAATTTTTTATGGCATAACAAAATTAAATAAAAATTGGTATTATAAAAAATAGTGTTCTATTGTCATCTTCAAAAACCACAGCGCTTATAAGTAAAAACCCTGCTGTTGATTGATTAGTAACATAGTAATATTATAAGATTTTACAGCTTAATTTAACCATATTTTATATTATCTATCCCCTGTTACAATGTGTGTACTTACTGCAGTCGTGAATATTGCAGTACAATTACAATTGAATTTTTTACGATTTAAAAAATTACTTAAAAATTTTGTCACAAGGCTACATATAGTCCAAATTTTGTCAATGATGGCTCCAAAATTTTTTATAATTTTTTGATAGATATACATGTCCTTATGTTGTATATCAAGTTTGAACCAATTCCAATCAAAATTGGATTTTTATAAATTTTTAAAGTTACTCAAAGATCAGTCCAAAGACGATGGGTATATAATAGTACTGGATATTTCATAAAAAATGGCTCCAAGAGAATTCTTTATTTATGTTTATAGTATAAATTTTTTAACTATAAAAATTAACTAGTTTAAAAATAAAAAAATAAAAGCAACTGGTCTACATTTGTGCAATTTTGTAAACAATAATAAAAATTGATAAAGTAAAAACTAACTTGTCACTACAAATATAACAAACACACTCCATTATTGGACTGCTTCATATACAACAGCATCAGTTTGTGTTACCAGTAGATCTAGTATAAGCAACATTTTGTGTTGTATGTACTACTCCAGTAGCTGTTCCATAAGCTGTATTCATACTAACTGGTATGCCAGGAACCTGTACTGTATCTGTTGGTGCATTCATAGTAACTGGTACATTAGGAACTGTATTTGTTGGTGTGTCCATAGGTATTGTATCATATATTACTGTATCGGCAGTATTTTCTGTAGTAGTTGATTAGAATAATGAGACTTTGCATTAAGTGAGTAGTACTGACCTTGCTTTCCTTTCCAAAGTTTACGCCAGACCAGACAACCAACAATAATGAGTATTATTAGCATAGCAATGACAATCACTGCTACACCAGCTCCTATACCAATGTACAGTGAATTGTCCAATCCACCTGTAGCTAAATTTTTAAAATAATAATGATATTAATAAATTGAAACACATACTGGTAGTTGGTAATGGTGTAGCTGTTGATGTGGATTGTATTACTCCGCTCATACTTGTAACTATTATTATAATGCAAATGCATGTAGCCATAAACAATATAAGCTTACCAGGTGGACTACTACTGGTAACAGAAGGTGACACTGTCATACTCATTGATGTACTAGTAGGAGGAGAAACAGAAGTACTAATGATGCCTGTAGAAGTGAGGGAAGAAGTAGAAACAGTAAGAATTGACAGTAAGAATTTTTATCAAGAGTGGATAATTATGCATAATATTGTCATCTATTGGTGTTGGTGATGAACTTAGTGTAACTATTATATTTGAAGATAACAT